AGATAGAGTGAGAGAGAGGAGAGAGAGAGAGAGAGAGAATTTTTTTTTTTAATATTTATTTTTCAGTTCTCGGTGGACACATCTTTGTTGGTATGTGGTGCTGAGGATCGAACCCGGGCCGCACGCATGCCAGGCGACCGCACCACCGCTTGAGCCACATCCCCAGCCCCCAGTGTGAGTTCTTTGATGTTCAATAAGGTGTGTGCTTCGACCGAAAGTCCTGCCACACTCGCGGCATCCAAAAGGCTTTCCTCTGCCATGAATGCTCCTGTGAACAATAAGGCCTGACTGGTGTCCAGACGCCCTCCCACATGGGTTGCCTTTACAGGGTTTCTTTGGTGGGAGGAGTTTTGGGTGCTGAATGAATTCTGGGCTATCTTTGGAGTGTTCCCTGGATATCGGGTATTTATCTCCCTTTGGAATTTTCTGTTGTACACCAAGGTTGGACCTTGGTCCAAAGCCAGTGGACTCAGGGTGTCCCTCCCCATTGAAAATATCCTTCAACGTCACTGATACTTGCTTCATTGCTGTTTTCTCAAAAGAGAGTTTTTTCTGTGCAGGACATTTTACCTGCCTTGATGACTGGCTCTGTCTCTTACAGCCTTCTCCACTGTTAGGACCCTGGACACCATTCCCTCTGAAACTCCAGTTCTTCAGAAACAGACTGATTGTTGTTGATACTTTGGTGCAGTTCAAATCTCCCTGTCTGGAAGACATTTAAAGTGCAGATGTCACCTGTGTCTGGTGTGGATCACAAGGAAAATAAATCATCAGGGAAAACAACAACTAATCTGCAATTCGTGCACACTAGCAATTTTATATGAGAAAACAAAGTGAGATAATGGAAGAGAAGTAAGAAGCAGAAGAAGAGAGGCAGTGGCAGTTTTGGCAGTAGACAAAATAAGCACAGAGATATCAAGAAATATGGGAAGAGGGACTGCTTAATATGCTAAGCCAAAAAAAAAAAGGAAACGTGCACATACCAGCCAGTGATCAGAGAGAGAGCCTGCTGGTAAATGCCCTGTTACTGTGGCGGACTGGTCACAGGACAGCAGCCAGGGCAGGGTGAAGACAGGAGGACTTGCAAAGCAGCAAGGGTGCCATCAGAATTCAAACGGCCATTTTCCTGGCACTGAAAGGTGACAATTATTCAGAAATACCATCTTCCCCGACTTCAACTACTTCAGGTAGTCTTCTAAAGAAGATTAAAGTCACAGACTGCTAGGAGCTCACCAGCACCAGCACTCATCTCAGCCAATGTGCTCACAGACGGGCTGAGAAAACAGCCTAAGCAACTTGCCTAGAACACACAGCAAAGTAACTGCAAAGGCTTGGACAGAATGTCCTCCTGAATTCCAAAGGGGTGATCTTTGGTGATCCCACTCACCTGTCCTGGTCTTGTGGGCTGCCTCAAGAGCGGTTCTCCTTTAGCTGGTCAGGTCCAGTTCACATGCTGACTGGAGTGATTGTTTAACCCAAGGCTGCGGGTGCTGGAGACCACACTCTTCACAGCTCCATCTCAATTCCGTGATCTATAGAAAAGGCAGCTGCACTTTCACGGAGGCTGTGGCAGGAGAAGCTGAAGACTTGGATATCTGAAATTCAGAGGCGAAAATTTGCAAGACAGGTGACACGAACACACTCCTAAGTCACTTATGTGATTTGTCACTCTGGTTACCTGGGCCTTGCCTCAGCCTAGTAAATCTGATGGCCCTGGCATTTGTATTTTAGAACAATTCCTGGCTCCAGCATCTTTCTATTGGGAAATGGGAAAATCTGAAGATCTTCTTGCACATCTGGACTGTTTTCTTGTAAATTTATCTGGAGTTCTTGCATATGACAGGAGGCCATGGACTATAAACAGTTCACCAAATGTTTCTGCTTTCAGCACAAATTGAGATCTGCTGGATTAGGGAGTTCACCTGGTTTTCCAGTTTTTCCTTTCTCATAGACTGGGAATCTCCCAAGACATGGAGATTCTACCAAGAAGCTACACATTGAGAACCTCAAGAGCAACATGACAATACCTTATGCTTAATTTTGCCTTTCAACTGGAAACAGGGAACACAAGCGCCCTACTGCTGGGTTGAATGGGTGGCCTTTCAACCCATTAATGGAACCTTTAATGGAACCTTTGCATTAAAATCCAGTTGCAAACTTCATGACACCAGTGTTCCTTAACAGGAGTATGCCCTGCTGTGAGCCTGGCTGGCTTTGATTCTTGCAGCCCACCCAGATCCTTAAGCTATTCCATAGTTACTTTGTTGGCAGTTCACTGTTATTCTTTAGTTATAGTGATCCCTAGGCTTCAGTGCAGCATCCTACAGAGGGTTTGGGGAATTGGGGGGGATTTCTGGATTGTTACAATGATTGCCGCTATTGTAATTTAGTGGCAGCCAAGGATGACAGACATTCCTGCGGAACTTCAAGTTCAGGATTCAGGCATACTTATTAGTAGTATAATGATTATTAAACGGCCAGTTTGATATGCAATTTTAATCCAACTAATGTGTATGTATTGTATGGTACAAGAGCCTCAAAATGTTTTGCATTTTAGGTAAGTACATTATGTATATGACTGCAGTATGCATTATGTAAGTTTGGGTATGTGACACATGATGAACACAAAATGTTATTGTTTCCACCTTGAAAACAAACAAAAAGAAAAAAAAAAGACGAAGAAAGAAAAAATAAGGAACCTGAAAGGAGCCTGACTTGGAAATGCAGCCTGCAGAAAGGGCCCTTTTTTGCTCTGCCTGTTCTAAGCCTGTATTCACAAATACTGACTTGTTTACTCCTCGCAGTAACTCTGTGAGAGTGGTACTGTTAGTCCCACAACATCAACAATGAACTGGAAGTACGGAGGAGTCACATGATGAATGCTGGGCTCAGAGGTACTATAGCATATAGATCTGGTCTTCTCAACAGTCAGGAAAAGGGCACCGAGTCACACTTCCAGTCCTTTGGCCCTTCAGTGGCCAGGAAACTCAACTCCTGATCCCAGGTACCAGTAGACCTTGACTTCAAAGTACCCTGAGGTTAGGGAGTGTCCAGTTCCTGGGGGTTGTCCCTGGGAAGATGTAGTGAATTCCAATCAGACTAAAAGCCCTATCTGTGAAGCTCAAGGACTAAACCCTCCATCCCTCCCCGACAGGTCAGTGGCAGCCTCAGCACACTTTGGAGAAACGTCAGACAGACGTTCCGTGGTACAGCATTGACCAGCTAATCTGGGTTTTGGTCATAGCTTATTGGTAGCTAGATAGAAACTAGAGGGGGGAAAAAAGAGTCTAGTTTTATATTTTCTCATTTGTAAAGCAAAGATGTTGGACTTGATTTCTTTTCTAAAGCTGATGTCTAGTAGTTTAGTTTTGGATCCCACACTCTGAGACACATATCTACCTACCTAGACCAATGGGTTAAGACTAAGATGAAACCACTCTTTCAAACCCAGGGACACCACCACATTTCAGACAAGACCATTCAAGAAACAGCTCCATAAGGCTGTGTTCTCAAATCACCTAATGATGCATCAGAGTAGTGACAGCACCGAGGAAGACATCGAGGGCAGTTAGCAAGCAAATGAGCAATAGTCCTACCCTGGGAAGAAAAATCTCGCAGACTCCTCCAAGAAGAGAAGTTCTGCAAAAGAGAAATATCAGCTTGGCAAGATGACGGCAGATTTTCAGAAAAGAGGAAAAAAATTGATGTGGGATACAGATATGGAGAAGTAAACAGTTGCCTTTCCCCCTGTGGCCTCTTCTTGGCTTTGTTTTTGATCAACAGAGCAAGGAAAATGTCTTACCCTAAGTCATCCAGAATCATGGTCTAGTAATGTCCACATCTGGCCAACTGAGTGCAACCCTAAAGATGAAGAGGAAAATGAATGCCCAGACATAACCACAGCTCTTCCCCCAAACAAAATGACAACAGAATCACCTAAGGGTGCATTAGAGTAGTGATAACACTGAGGAAGACATCGAGGGCAGTCAGCAAGCAGATGAGCAACAGTCCTTCTGTCTGGAGTTAACGGCCATTTTTGATGATAAAGGATAAAAAGGACAGATCTAGACTAAATGTTTCTTGAAATTCTAGGTGATCTGACCTCTTTGTCAATTTCCTCACATGGGATATGAATTCAAAAAGAGCATGGGATGGCAATAGTCTCCTTACTTCATCCCCAAAAGTGTCAAAACAGAAGGTAATGGACCCTGCTCGGGACTGTGCTTCCCTGGGCAAGTTACTCAACCTGAAAAATCTGGCCCCACCCTGTAAAATGCCATGGCTTATACTGGCTTATCTTTTCTTACAAAGCTTTTGTGACTGCTACATGTTAAAGTATGGCAAACCATTTACAATTAAGAATATCATATACAACACAAGGGGATGATATTACTGCTAAGTTCCTCCCGCAACTAATCTGAAGATTGTGAAGCTGTACATTCGGAGAGAGACGCCCTCAGTACTGGTGAGCCTCTTCCGCAGCTGCTGGACCTCAGCGTTGCACACAGGCCTTCTTTCTTCTTTGGGGCATGCACGTGAAATGGCGAGGGCTGGAGATGGGACCATATTTTCAGGGAGAGCCCCCAAATCACACTTCAGAGCAGCCAAGGGGTCGCCACAGACCAGGGATTCCTCGTGCCCCTTCTCCAGGTTCCCCCAAGGGGTCCCTCTAACCTGAGGTGCCAGGTCCCCTCCTTTTCTGCTTTCTTCCTCATGCCGAGTCCTGTGGGCCGCCTCGCTGCCCCACAGACGTCCTGCCCACGACACCCTCCTCCTCTCAGGTGGAGGGCCACACAGTGCCGCTCCACCAGCCAACAGAGCAGCCCTGGCGGACCTTCCCCGCGGACAGCAGCGCTGCCCCCAGCTCCAGCCACCCACCTCCGCGCGCTCTCTCCTGCACCCAGCTCCCCGCCTCCTGTCTTTTCCGCTCTTGAGCCTCAGACGGTCCGGGGTAAAAGGAGGCCAGAGTGGGGTCTGGCACCCATCTCGCTTCCGCAGCGCCCTTCGCGGTGCACAAAGGAGCCAGCCGCAGGGGCCCACCCCGCGAGGGCGGCGCGCGCCCGACCGACTACCGC